AGGGCTGGACTCAATTATCCATAGAGTCCCTTCCGGCTCTGCATTTCTAAGAGTATAGCATAGGAAGAAGCCATTACAAAGTGGATAAGTATAAAAATTAGATGTGTGATAAGGTACAGAGGAAAACTCAGATGGAAGTGGAAAAAAGTGAGGGACATACAGAGCAAGGTTGCAACTCCATGGCAAGCTGAATCACTCCAATTTGGCTTTCCTGAAATTTGATTCCCAGCCTGTATTACGGCTGAATTTGTAATTAGCGATCACACAGGGGCTGTGGATTGATTCTGGAGTTCATGTTCACACTCGATGTAACGCAATTCAGATTTCAGCCCACAGCCCTCCTTCTTTCCCTCCCCTCTCTGTTCCCACCAGATGTGACATACTCTAGTTAAACGAAAATGAATACAATCTTACATGAAGGAGACCACTTTTTATATCCAGATCTTCTTGGAGAAGATTAGTAAGAGGATCTGTACTGATATATTAGCTCAGGAGACACCATCAGTTTGGTGTGCGTTCCCAGCAAGTAAAGTACTATAACAATTCACTCCAATATAGCACACAACACCTGGGGGAAAAAACACCAAGCTTGAGAAACTGTATAAAATATTTATGCATGGCCTTACAACAATGGAAATATACGAACACGTGAAGCTGCCTTCACTAGGAGTTGTACTATTGGTTCACTTATTTTAGAGGAGTATTCACTTAACAAATGTATTTCTTCTGCCTTTTCTCCCAGAAGGCAGTTTACTATTTGATTTAATATCATGCTATGAAAATAACATCACAAACAGAGCAACCACAATAGCAACAGCAATGACAGCCCCAAAGTTACCTGTAAATTATTCACCACTGACTCAATACAGGAAACCACAGCCTTGAGTTTGCATGAGCTGAATAGGGCTGTTAATGATAGGACATTTTGGAGGTCATTTAGTCATAGGGTCACCAGAAGTCAGAGGTGACTTGACAGCTCATTAGCAACAACAATCAATTCACCCTGCTCCATCCCTGACTTCTGGAACAGAACACTCTAAAACCTAAAAGGAACATAGCAAGATAAAAAGGGAGTTCAGGGTTTCCACAGAAAAATGCCCTGTTTGGAAGCTGGCCTCTGTAGATTAATATCTTTGTTACATTTATATCCTGCCTTTTCCCCAAGGAGCTGGCTGTGCGCGCGTGCATGCGCGCGCACACACACACACACAAGATAGCAACAAACCCAAGATCACAAAATGACCTTCACCACAGAGTAAGGACTTGAACTTCGATCTCTCCAATCCTAGTCTAACACTCTCACCACTATGCCATTCAACCTCTCCTATTCAGCTTGATCTTTTCTGCCTACCACTGAGTTACACTCCCAGTTTTAGAAACTACCAAGGAAAGTGATAAGATCAATGGACACTGTAAGCAAGCGACTAATCCAGGAACACCCTACACATTGTATACACAAAACTGATATTTATTTAATGTATTTGCAAAATAATCTATGAGATCTCTTTCGGCCACAAAATTTCCCAGGACAGCTTGCAATTTTGCTTAAAATCTTTATAACGATGACAGCCTAAATTCACTTTATGAGCTACAGAATAGAAACATACACACATTTAACATTGAAACCCTTAATTTTCACTGTAAAAATTTCATTTCCAATTTGGTAAAATAATCCATTTATTCTAGGCAGAGTCATCAGTACCCATATTGGTTCATTTTAATCTTGCTTTGTCTTATTTGGATGGTGAAAGTTGTGTATATTTTAACTTTTTTTTTGTAGTGTTGTCCAGTTTTACCTTGGGGAAGAGCACCTCATTTCGTTGCACCCACTTGTGAGCGCAATGACAAATAAATTTCTTATGTCTTATGTCTTATGTCTTATACTGTGCTTAGGGAATGTAAATTACTTTGCTGTGAATTCCCTTGGCTATACTAGTGCATGAACTGCTGATGTCACGCACTGACATGTTTCTCAGGGCAACACTACAGGCCATGTTCTTCTCTTATATCATGTCCCCTGCAGGATTCAGCTCTCAATTAATCGTTCATGACAATCCAGCTTCTGACAATATAGTCATCCTGGTGATCAGTGACGGTTACAATACTATGCAATGTCACTGTAGCCTTTAAGAGACAAAAAGGTAATGCCATAGGTACAACATGTCTTGCTTGCAGATAAAACACCTGTACATCACTGAATGGCCCTTTCAATAAAGCAGGAAGGCAAGCGAGAAGCTATTCCAAGACACAAATGGTACAAAGAAGCCGTTCAGGTTCAGAAAATAACAAGGGAGTATCACACAGGCGTAACAAAATACCCTGGGGAGAGAGTGGTGTACTGAGAAGCCATGCATCCTCGCAATTACAAAAGAAGAAGAGGAGGAAGAGGAAGAAGAAACACACAGTACCTTATTAGATTAAAGCAGAGAAGAGTGCGAAACAATGCCCTCTTTTAATACAAATTTCCAAGCAAGTAGCTGTGCTGTTCCAAAAACAACAAAGGGTCTTGTGGCACCTTAAAGACAAACAAGTTTTATTTGGCATAAGCTTTTATGGATCAGAGCCCCATTTCTTCAGATGCCTAAGCAGGACCTTTTTGGCCCAACTATAGAGTTACTACCTTGGGGGGCAAGGCTGGAGTGATACCCTAGTAGATGAAAAGAGTTGCTTTAAGGAGGATCACCTCTGGCAAAGTGGCTGTTTCCACTGTGATCAAACACATCTCTCACCATCTAATCACACCTTTAGTCTTTAATGTGCCACAAAACTTTTTGTTGCCTTTCAGTATATTGACAATGGAAACTGCACATAATAAATTAAAGAACATTCCTTTCTAAATATTCACTTACAAAACTGCAAAGCAAGGGTGTTTTTTGTTTGTTTGTTAGTTTTGAAAACCTCATAAGCACAAAATATTACCGAAAAGCACAAGATCAGATTCCATTCAAATCCATTAATGGTTATCTCTTAACACTGGGAAAGCATGTGTGCAAAATGAATGATGGAATTTCAGAAGTATATAGTATTTCTTGGCATCCTGCAACACTTCCCTCAATACAGCCTCAAGTATTCTTCCTTGATTTGACTGTTCAGGTGTGCTGGAGAGCAGAGTTAAGCCCTTTACCTCAGCCTCTTTCAAACTTCCATTTCTCTTAGAGATGTCCAAACACTCATATTCATTTTTCTGTTTCAGTGCTTTCTGTTTTTACAGTGAACTACCTCAGCAACTGTTTGCAAGCCAAGTAATTAATTATATCACTGATTTCTATGGGACAAATGGATACAGAGGGAAAGGACAATAATCCACTTACAGATGAAAAGAAATCAGTACAAGGAATACATACCATGAACAGATCTGAGAATACAAACAGTATGTAATTCAAAAGCTAGGAGATGAAGTGCCAAATTAACCCTCATATACTAGGATCAAAATTTGCTTTGCGTGACCATGAGCATTTTCTCAATAAAATGAGAACTTCATTTTACTGAGGGGTATAAAAATGTCCCATGTCAAAAGAAGTTGTTTGTATGCTTGGGAGCAAGTCTGTTCTAGCTAAATACCCTAAGGTAGGAAAGGTAAGGTGGAATAAAAATACAATACAATCAGATAAAATAGAAAACACACACTCATATCATGTGATCTCAGTTTTTCATGACAAACACTTCGCATAAACAGCTCACAGGTTTCCAGTCATGCCTGTTCATGTTTATTGTTTAAACAGTCCAAGCTTTCGATAGCAATATCCTGCGCCATCATCATCAGGAAGATGGCGCAGGATATTGCCATTGAAAGCGCAGATTATTTAAACAATAAACATGTATTGACATGACTGGGAACCCAAGAGATGTTTATGCAACACTCATATTATGTTTACTGCCTACCATGAATTCCAGTCTCACCAGTGAAGACATCTGCATCTTCTTCATATGGCAACAATATATCAAGAACTCAGAATCTGTCAGTTCTGCTTTTTGCATTGCAAGAGACATACTGAACCCAAAAGATTTCATTGGCATTGTTGCATCATGATTTATCAACATCAACAACAAAGCAACAGGACTTTTTTTCAATATGTTATGTTAATGGGACAAAAGGCATATCCCAATGGCAAAAATTAACAGATTGCTGGGGCTTTTTTACACTTGACCTTTTTTGCTTGTAGGGGGAAAAGGCACATAGCAAATGGCTCAAACATAGGAAAATTATTTACAACTGTACAGGTAACAATATTCTAGAATACTGGCAATGCATGACTCGTTCTGTGTGAATTTGACAACAAAGCATGACTGTGGAAGGTTAGAAAACCCCACCCCAGAGCATGAATGTAAAGGGAAAGGAACAGGAGAAAGCACAGGATAGGTTCTTTCAGAGAGAAAAAACTGCAGTATCAACTGTCAACAACAAAACAATCATCAAGTATCACTGGCTGCTATCTGTACTGTATTTTTAAAGTAAAACTCCAGCACAGTCAGCTATTTTGTGGTTGTCATTCAAGAGTGTTCGCATTAATGGGCAGTACAGAAGTGGAAACAATAAACAAACAAACAAATAAATTGTCTCTCATATTGCCTCTGTGGTTTATCCAGTTCTATAAGCATTTTTGTCAGGGCTTTGCTATCCATTTCCCCAACATATGGCCCTCTTTTGCTTCCTTTGATCAGGGTTTGAGGATCTGATCAGATTCACAGCACAGGCATCAAGGTATGAATATTCCACAGTGAATTTATGTGCCTGTTTGCCATTCAGCAGCAGGTTCCCAATCTGTCAGTCAAGAACCTCAGTGTTTGCTCTCATCTACCTAACTAACGAGATGGCCTTCCATCATAGAAAGTCACAGGTTATCATAATGTATGTATCTCGCCCAGGGTGATCCTGCCCCAGAGTTCATAGATAGAAATAAAATATATAGCACACACACTTCGAAGACTCAAAGAGAGTGAATGAAGGAGCAAATAACTCAATAATTAAGAATAAGCAGCAATGGTCAACCCTCACTTACCACCAGGGCTGTAGATCTATTGCTCAGGAGTTTCTCAATGTCTCGAGCTGCACTTTCCACCAATTGTCGTGCATTGTTGGCTTCTACAGTGTATAGATGTGTGTTTTGTAGATATATCTGAAAACAAGGAAAGAAAATAGGACACAGTCAGGCACTGTTATGAGGCTAAGCTTGGGGCCTGGACAATCCGTGGACCAGAGTCTGAACCCAAGGATGTTACGCACTTTCAGCCTTGTTTCCATTGCATGTTTTCGAATCCCATCGGCCTTCATGTCCTGATCTTTGTTCTTATCTGATTACAAGACTTTTTTCTCACACACTCTCATGGAGATTTATACTAATTTCCTTATTCCGTCATACTTTATATATATATATATATTTACACAGTCTTGCAGACATACAGGTCTCTATGTTTGTACATATTCTGCAACGGTAAACCTTTTTTTAGCCATTCACATTTTCAATATATGTACTTGGTTCAATTTGTGTTTTATTTCTCCAGCATCTGCTACAAGTTTAATAAGAGCACAGGTTTCTATGGAAGGGTGTGCTTCGTCTTGCCGTTACTCTCAGGGAGATGCAAAATGGGCAATTTGATGGGACTCTCCAAATGTTTCCATTCCTGCCCAACCCACCATGCCTAATAAAGCCATTTTAAAATTTAATTTATTTATCTATTAAATTTGTATCCCACTCATTTAGACAGCGTCTACTCTGGGCGGCTCACAATAAAATGGATTAAAAACAATCAAATAATATCAATTTAACAACAGTAAGAAAATCATTCAAGATGGAAAAAAGGGATAAATCAGATGGATTCATTGAATGCAAGTATCTCTCTTTGATTCAAGGTGTGTTTAAAAGGACAGTGCATGAACAGGCACTTTTACACTGTAGGACAGACATGCTAATTCTCTTTGATTTTATATTAAATGTCTCAGCTGTCTGCTAGATCATAGTGTCCAAAATCCTGTTGCTTAGTGCTGTAACTCACACTAGAGCAAGCCCATAGAATCAATGGGGATTTGGTGAGTTAACCCCTCCAAAAATTTCACTGATTGAAGTGGGCCATTCTAACTGTGACTTACTATGCTAAAATAAATCACAGTTAGTGTACGCCCACTTGAGTCAATGCAGCTTGTGAAGGAGTTGACTCACCAAATCCCCATTAATTAAATGCACCTACTCTAGTCCAACCTATTACACTAAGCAATAGGATTTTCATTATTACGTACAATGTGCCTACTGTTACATGGCTGTTCCATCACCAAGCAAAACATCGGTATTTTTTTCTAAAAGCTATGATTCTGTAACTAAGGGCCAAACTATATGTAGATCTACCAAGTAGTTCACTTGAAAACAAACAAAAACTGTGAAGTTAGCCCTCTGTACCCAGTTGTGATTCTAATGTGGCTTGGAGCCCTATGTTTGCACGTTGTAGTACCAAAATGTAATTCATCTATTTTAATGGATCATTATTTCGCAATACAAACTGCAGACATGGGGGGGGGCTCCCCTGAACTGGGACTGCAGCTGGGGGCAAAAGTGTTAAAAACACCCCTTTTTTCTCCATCCCATAATGTTCATTATGTGATTTAGACTTTTCTTTATTTACCTTGAAGTAAGAAGGGCACAGTTCCTAGGTATTCCTTTAAAATAAAGTGCAGCACTTCATGTCTCTAACTGTCCAGGGGAAATACAGATGTTTGCTGGCAACAGCTTAATAAACCAGTTTCAATATAAAGGTCTATACTGCCTTTACTGTGTTTTTCCTGACCGTAATTTTACAGGTTAGGGGTACTCATATGTTCGCTATTCAAACGGCCAGCTGAGGCAGGGCAGTGAGTCTATAGAAATGCATTCCTCCTCACGACGTTTTACAACTAAAGGGTTCTGCTTTAGGGAACAGTGGCAATGCAAGAGAGGAAAATGAGGAGTCTAAATGGGGTGGACAACTGTAGCCCTCCAGCTGCTTTTGGCCTAAACTCACATCAGCCCAGCTGGCATAACCAACAGGGAGGGATTCTGGGAGGTGCAGGAACAGGGTCTGCAGGGTCATTCTTGCCCAACTCTAGTCTAAAACTGTGCAGAGAGTCTACAGAGGTACAAAAAGCTCCCTGACGCAGAAGCTCATCCTTATTATACAGGTGTAACGAGGACAATGACTGAAAACAGGGTGTGTTTGTTGTCACTCTAAGGGAAATAAATTGCAGCTTGGAGTGCTTATGGGGTGGTCTGGCGTGGCCTATTTCCCAACAATCACATCTGTGCTGAAGCTGGAGCTTTTTGAGCTTCCACTTTTGGTGTCCTGGCTGCAGTCATTCCCCAGAAGATGGAAAAGTTTCCTTCAGAGAGATGGCTCTCATTAAAGCAACCTTTGCAGCCATCTGATCATACCCTAACTCTCCTTCGGTGTTCGTCTCTCAATAAAGCAGAAAGGTCGTATAGGGTTGAGGCATGTCTCTGAACAGACTCTCCTGAATGGCATCCAGAATCTGCATGAAGTGATATGAAATCCAAGACAGCTGTGCTGTATCATGATTAGGAATGCCTTTGGTAAAAATGCTATTTTTTTGTTCCTGTTTCCCGTATAAGGTAGAATGCATCTAAAGATGGATAAACAGTACCTGTTGATTAAGAATACAGTGAACCAACGGCCCTTAAGTCTATGCACAAGATTTAAAAAAAACACTAAGGAAAACAAACATTCAAATTAATTAATATCAACAGGGGGTGCTACTACCGACCTCAGGGCCGTGTGCACTGCTGCCAAAGCTGCAGACACCTCAAGGCTCTGTGAGCAAACATGGAAAATGCATTTACAAATTCAACACATGGCTGGAGTTTACACAGGCCTTACGCCTCTGCTTAATGGGTGTCACATTGTCTTAAGGGAAGTAAACCCAGGCAGTGCAAACACATGCCTGGTCCCAGAACTAATATCTTGGCCATGTCCCAGCAGCTTCTAGCAGAACAGATTTTTAAAAGAAAACAAGATTTTACAAATCATTAACAAGCCCAAACAGCAGTTCCAAGCTACTCCAGTTGCAGTTCCACAGGAGACTAAAGATGTGTCAGGATAACTGGAACCATCGAGGGCCATTTTGCAATCCCAGAAAATAAGAACCTGCATTATTTGGCAGATAAGATTATCTGCCCATCTAGCATGGCAGTGTGCAAAGCGTACTTCACACAACCTGCTAATTGGTGACATCAGGGACTGAACATAAGACATGCATTTCCTCCATTACAGTGCTGAAGCTCCTGTAAGTATTGCAAGTTAAAGATGGATAAACAGTGGTATTCCAAAAGCCACCTGAACTTTAAAAAAACAGACAACAAATGTGGGGAAGAGCGGGGGAAGCAATCAATTTCAAAAGTTCCCAAGCTATTTCTTAAAAATAAATCCCCCACCCATTGCCTCAACTCTGACAAGATTCAGCTAGACTGCGGATCTCTTTGCATTCTCTCCTTTCAGTGTACGCAGAAAAAAGATCTTTGCCTGTTCTGGATCTCCATGCTTAGAATTAACTTTAGGATTAAATATTGCCTGTCACCCTTCTTGACGTGCCTATGGTTGGCAACATTTAGCTTCAAAACTCTCAGTAGTCCCAGACTGGTGTCCCAATTCCTGAGTGAATTATTCCAACCCATTCCATCTCAACAGAACAAAAGTTTGATTTCCAAAAAAGGAATGGAGTCTCCTTGGAGAAGGAAAGAATGCTATTCCTTCACATGTCAATAATCATTTCATATGTCAACATGCAATTTATAAGAAAGGCAGCCTCTAACAAAGGCCTAAGTGTATCTTCTTGATTACCTGGGTCAGTATTTATTTCTTAAAGTTCTACTTTAAGAAATAAGAACTGACCCTGGCAATATATATAGCAAACTTTTAAGTCAAATGGATTAAACAAATATGTAATATACACTCCAAGATCTAAAATCTGAAAAGCTGCCTGATCAAGTGTGAAAAGCCTAGTGTTCTGTACCTGGCTTCAGGAGCTGCTCTAAAAGATTGTGCCTGAATAGATAACTGTTGCTGCAGTTTAAACCATATAATTTACACTGTTTAATTTAAGTGTATTTTCAATTATTTTCTGATGTTTTAATATGATGATAAATGGTGTTGTTTAATATGGTATCAACCTTTTGTCTGCTATCACAGTAGGGCAACGACTCAACTAGTAGTTACAATTTGTTTGCTTGCAGTTTGGTGTTCAATAAAACGTATCACCCACTCTTACATCTATGTAATCTTGGGGGCCACACAGGCTTTTCCTTGTTCTTTCTACTCTAACCAGCTTTCAGATATGTCAATATACAGGTATGCTTGCAACAAAAAAGACCATGGTATTGACATTGTTTTGCAACTATTTTTCAAATGCTGTCATTTACTCTGAGCTAATGGTGTGTAATATTTTTTGCACTTGGATACAAAGCAACACAGAAATGCCACCCCTTCCATCCAACGTGGGTGAGAATTTTAAAAAAAGGCAGCCAAAGCACCCAAATGTTCTTCCTTTCCCCATTTTCTCAAGGACACATCTTTTCAAAATCCCACAAAGAAACACTTACCTCATATGCTTTTAAGGCTACCTTGGGGAACTGGTACGCTTTTGTTCAAAAAATGGAGAAGGGAGGAAGAATGAACAAGAGGAAAGAAAGGAGGGGGAGAGGAGCCATGTAGCAAGAACACGTCTTATACTATATGTCTGACACACTGCCATAGTAGCTAAGGTGTGACACTTCGCAGGTTTCTTTTGCAGCTCTTAATGAAGTGGTGTGTGTGTGTTTTCCAACAAACTTGCAATACAAAGATATATGGCCTTTGTGTCTGCCCAGTCACCAGTCACAAAAATGGGATGCTATGCCATTCCTGACCACAAACATCACTCCACTGGGATGGGGGAAAAAAGAACTGAAAGCCTTCCTCATTATTTGTTAACTTGCCCTGTCTAATCTGAAATTAGATTAATTCGCCCTGTTTATCTGAAATCTGAGAATTTATCCAGCAAGAATTTCTTTTGCTCCAGTCTTTACATGTGGATGACAAGGATTCTTCTCACACATACACAAGAAAAGAAAGAAACTAGTGTATTTATTTATAGCATGCA